GAAGAAATACTTTGTCCTTTCATAGTATAGAATGTGAAATACTATTTTAAGTTCAAAATCTATGGTGAAACTAGTTTGAAACAAAGCTTTCTGTCTGTAACTCCCTCGGAAACTTTGTTTTGTTCAAGCAGCAGTAGCAGCAGCAGCAGCAGCAGCAGCAGCAGCAGCAGCAGCAGCAGCAGTAACAGTGGTACTAACAATAGTAGTAGTAGTAGCAGCAGGAGTTGCAGTAGTAGTAGTAGTCATATAGTGGTAGACCAGTAGCAGCAGAAGGGGCAGTACTAGTAGCAGGAGTAGTAGTAGTAGTAGCAGTAGTAGTAGTCATGCATTTGAGCTATTAGTTTAGACAAACTTAAAAAGCTGAAACCGTATTTTAAAACATAAAAGCACACAACTTTTCAAACACATCTCTAAAAAAACCTATCTACTGCTGCATCCAGTACACCAGGTGCCTCTCTTATAAATCCCTCGACAGACAAATGGATCTTGACTTCAAACCCCGCGCACGTGTTGTAGACAGTAATCACAGGTCTTCACACGCATGTTTCTCATAGTAAATCAGCGCGCCCGTTCTTTTAATCACCTCCTTTATGTCCTCCATTTGTCACTCATTATTGTAACGCCGTGGAGTGGCCCGCACCACTCATTGTTATGCAAAGAAAGAAGGAAAGTAAATAAGCAAGTGAATAAGAGACGAGGCGATTTACATTGACAATTACAGTCGTGATAGCATCGCCGGCCCATAACTCTTCATCCGCGACGTCAGATGTGATCGCGGAGACTGGGAGATGCATACAGAGCAGTTACATGCACCAGAGGCTGTGTCTTGTCTCTCTTTCGTCACCAGTTCAGTTCATTTCAGTTCAGTTCAGTTTATTACAAATATACAGTAAAAAACATTTTAACATCCATTTATAGATGATAGTGCATATTCATAAACGGGACACCCTTGAAGCAACATTTAGCTTATATATGGGGTCCAAGACAATACACAATATTAAGAACACAAAAAACATACATTAGTAACCTATACATATTACCCTAGATACCTTTTCTATTACCTACTAACTAACCTTACCTGCTCTAATTAAAACTGCCTTACCTTACTTTTACTAGCTTAGAGTTACATCAATTTACTTAAAAGGTACAAATTATTATTATTATTTGCTTTTTTTGCTTTTATTTATTTATTATTATTATTATTTTTTGCTTACACACATTACATATTACGATCAAACATAAATACATAAGTCTTGTTAGAGGTCATCAGCTAGGGTTTATTATACTTTTCTAGAAGCTCAATTTTTAGTTTATTTCACCAACTCGTCACTCTCTCTTCTCTCTCTCATCTCTTTCTAGTCTCTTGTCTTGTCTTTCTCTCATATCTTTCTAGTCTCTTGTCTTGTCTCTCTCTCATATCTTTCTAGTCTCTTGTCTTGTCTCTTTCTCGTCACTCTTTGGTCTCTCTCTCATCTCTCATCTTTCTTCTCTCTCTCACCTTTCGTCTCCCTCTCATTTCTGGTCTCTCGTCTCGTCACTTCCTCGTAACTCCCTCGTCATCTCTCTCTCTCGTCATTCAGTCGTTACTCTCGTCTCTCTCTAGTTTCTCTGTCTCTCTCTTGTCTCTTGACCTGCTATTGGCCATTTTACCACTGCTGTTGGGATTCAGGGCCATACAAAAACACATTGATTTGATAAGCCGTTCTTAAACTCACTCAACGTTTCATTAACTAGCTTGACCAATGTCTGCATTCTAAACCTGTATAATAAACTCACGCCCAAGATACGATGGCTTCTGACTAATGCTATGTTGCTAATCATTTAAAAGGTATGGACGTTCATGTAGTTATTGTAAGCATGATTGCCAATGTTGTAATGTATTTTGTATGTTAATAAAATAAAAAACATTAAAACGTTTTTTCATACATACGTCCATAGTTTTACTTGTGGACCTCTGGTAAATTGTGATGATCGCGGACACATGAAATAGCGGCCCACTGTCCCCAGCCTTTTATTGTGGCGGGCCGATTTCCTTTAACAAACAACATATTATTTGTAATTTTTGTATCTATATTTAACATGAACGACTGCAGAATAGCAACTGGAATTAGAAAAAAAAAAAAAACTTAAAATTTTAACTACATAAGAATACAATCAGCTGGGTAAAAACCGTAGTGGTACCTCAGACAGTGTTTTTCTCTCGGTCATCACTTTGAAGACACACCAGAATGTAAATTGAGTTCTACGGTGGCCCGACTAGGACACGCGGGGCATCCATCTCAGTGATCACACAATTAGCAAATCCAAACCACAGCTCGTTTGTCATCAGCCGCAGAGCTGAAGGAGCTAATGATGCTAGCTCAAATTAGCATCATTAAGCTAATTGGCGTCTTTTGTAATACAGAGGATTATAATGCAATGTTACAAATTGTCCGGAGGGTCACTACAGATAGATTTATCCCAACTTTGAAGTGTCACAAATGTTTTCCCATCTCATTTAACCACACAGAGAGCCATTCCTGCATTCCATCAATAGAAATAACAATTCCAGCTTGTTTTTAATACTGAGGTACCAAACTTTGTTCATAAATACATGTTTGTCCCAACAGAAATAGTCCTGTAAATGTTTGAACAAATCAGGCCACATGATTTTGCCGTCATCCTATTAGAAAACATTCTTTGTGCGAGAAAGAACCCTCACTATTTGACTCTTGGGACTGAGAGCTGATTGGTTTAGTGAGGGTGGTCCTTTTTATAACTTTTCCGTCTGAAAAAGCTGATCTAGATGTGACGGAGGAAAAAAAATACATGTGAAAACTAGTGAACGAACCTTTTTGAGAACAGGGAATGACCTGGTTTTTAAATAATGTTATAAACGTGTGGTTTAGAAATAAGTTGTGATCTTTCATTATATAGCACACTGTTTACAGACCAAGGTCACCCAAAGCGCTTTACAATGTTCAGAGTTCAGATATTTATCATTCTCTCCACACAGTGATGACGGACGCGAGACGCCGAACACACTGGCGCATCAAAACCTCCAATCAACCCCATCCATTCCCTCACTCATTACATTCACACCTATTGGACATGTTTTCAGTGGTAGGGGAAACCGGAGCACCCAGAGAAACCTACGCAGACATGGGGATAATATGCAAACTCCACTGAATTCCGACCGGGATTTGTACCCTGGACCTTCTTGGGTTCGAATCATGTCAGGTAGCCCAGCTTGAATTCATTTGTATTTTATTGTAAGGTTTATGCTCATTTATAAAGTGCTCGGAGGCGACTGCTGTTGTGATTTTGGGCTATACAAAAATAAATGAAATTGAATCAAAGAGTGCAGTGGCAGAGTGGTTAACCCCCCTGCTAGCCTAGAATACGTTTTCAGCTGGCATGTTAAAAGTCAAATTGTTTTACAGATTGTGACCATTCTGTCAATTGTTTTTTCCTCTCATTTGTAAATATCACAACACAACTTCACATTCTCAAAAGCCAGCGTCGGTCAGTTTCTCATTATTGCCCGTTCTGTCATATCACTGGTACAATTCACCCCAGTTTGAAATTAGAATAAAACTTACAAATAGTCCATAACAAAAACAATATTTCCCCTCGCCTTAAACCGACGCATGACTGCTTTTCTGCATACATATTTGGGCATTAACAGTCTTTATTTTCAAACTTTAATATAGTAAATCCCCTCGGCGTCCCAGGCACACAACACCAGCATTAATAATTCAGATGGGATCGTGTGGTTAGTCTTATCTGCTTATGGAAAAAACTAGGCTCGGCCAGAATACTAAAAAGCCATTATTGCCACCAGTTGTTCGGCGCGGTTCAAATTAATGAGGCGGCTCAGGACGCGGCGGTTTTTAGGCCAAACTGAAAAAATGCCACATCATTCCAGAAGAGACTTGCTAATTGTTATTTTCCAGGGCGAAAGTTGGGAAAGTGCAAACGTAAGAAGAGACTTTAGGAGGGAAACACGGCTGAGAGCTGTGGTTTGACTATTGAAAGTAATGTAAAAACAGTTTGCGATCAATGTGATGGTTTGTGATCAATTTAAAGCTCGGATATGTAACTTTCAAACAAAAAAAACGAGTTCCTCCCTAGTATTTACGTGCGTGTATGTCTTGGCCTCCGTCACATCTTTCGATCAGCTTTTTCAGACAGAAAAGTGAAAAAGAGAGGAAAACCCTCAATCAGACAATCAGCTCTCAGCCCAAAGAGTCAAACAGTGACTCACAGGGTTCTTTTCACTGCAGTATGTGAGCATATACTGAAAAAGCAGCATGTATAACATGAAGGTTGCATGTTATGGTCTGATTTGTTTACATTTGACTTTTACAAGACAAAAAAATTAGATTTTATAACTGAAAACAAAACAACAGAACAAGGTTTTGTACTAGTACATAGATTTAGATTAAAAAACTACAAGAAATTCACATTTTGTCCAGCTTTGCTACTAGTTTTAGCAATTATTTTTTAATTTTGTATTTATATTATACTATATGTATATGAATGAGTGCCTTTATTAGTCCAAACTGAGTGAGGCAAAATTACAAATCCATACATTCTGTCCTTTTTAAGTTGGACTGCTCATATTCCACAATTGATGGACCTCCTTGACCTAAAAACATACCACAGCTTGGCCTATAGGAGCCGACTTTCAAGTTTCCTGCAGAATCCCAAGCCTCTGCATTTATAGCTTATCCAAACACAATGCTATTTGGGATTTCTGTAGGAGGGATGGGAGCTCACAGAGGTCAAAAAGCAGCCCACGTCCCCCTTGTGATGGAGGAGAAGAGCGGAGCGCGGGAGGAACAGCAGCTATATCTGTAAACAACGTGACTACCCCGGCGAAAGAGTCCACGCGGCAGGAGAATCCAACGACATTTGGCTTTTCGTGATTATATTGTAGAGTGATTAGAAGCAGGAGCAGAATAGATGATGATGATGATGATGATTTTCTGGGCAAACGCATGAACACCACATTAGAGATGTTGGTGAGAGTCGGTGGAACGATCAGAGTTAGATCTTGGGATACTCTTACTGCCAATATTTTTATTTGTCAATTAATACATCTATTTGAACAACCAGTGTATTTCCTTGTGCGCTGCAACATACAAATTTCCCCACTGTGACATGAGTAAAAGTTCTCCTAACTACTCTTACAGCAGCAACAGTGGTAGTAGCAATACAGCAGCAGTAGTGGTAGTAGTAGTGGTAGCAGTAATATAGTGGCAGCTACACTACTTGCACAAGTGGACATACAGTGTAGCCTTGTAGTAGGAGACAGTTTGAGTGGCAGGAGTCATTGTTTATTTTTCATGTGAGCAGTGAGTAACGCTCAGGTAACCATTACATCATCACAACAGTGTGGTCCGCAGCAGGATGAAGAAATATTCTGATGAACTCCAATGTTCGCCTCACACCTCAGTACAGGGGACAAATACTGTAGGTGTCTTCGTCAATAGTAATAATAGCAGGGAGGTTCATAGTACAGACTCAAAAATGGCCCAGATGAGACCAATCTATTCTTATTTTACATTAAAG